TAAGACCTATAAAGAGACTTAGACTCCCTAGACTCTCACACAATAATAGTGGGAGACTTCAATATCAGTATTAGATAGATCAATGAGATGGAAAATTAATGATATCCAGGACTTGAACTCAGATCCGGAACAAGTAAACTTAATAAACATTTATAGGGCTCTCCACTTTAAATACACAAAATATACATTCTTGTCAGTACCACATTGCACCTACTCATAGGTTTAAATGAAATATTGATCGGCCATTATTAAGCACAATTATTGGCATAAAAGAGGTTTTCAATACCCATTTTTAGAATAAAGCAACATTCCTGTTCTCGCTCCCTCTTTTTCCTCTTTCTTCCTCTCCTTCACTCCTTTTTTTCTTTCCTTCTCTCCTTTCTAAAAGAAAAGAAAAGAAAGAAAGAAAGAAAGAAAGAAAGAAAGAAAGAAAGAAAGAAAGAAAATATTTGCAGAGGCCAAGCACGGTGGCTTGCACTTGTAATCCCAGCACTTTGGGAGGCCAAGGCAGGTGGATCACGAGGTCAGGAGTTCAAGACCAGCCTGGCCAAGATGGTGAAAGCCCATCTCTACTAAAAACACACACATACAAAAAGAAAAAAAAATATTGTAGTAGCTTTCAATGGCTGAATAACTACAAAGTACAAGCCAGTTAACATTATAAACCTCATTTCATAGAAGGAATAACATGAGGAGAATATTATGTAAGAGTTGGGGAGTGTGGCCAGATGTCACAGCTAATATTTCATGTTTCAAAACATCCTTCCCTCTTTCTGTCCCTCTTTCCCATCTGTCTGTTCACACAGACCTGATCTTGATCCAGAAAACATTTAGCATGATTTTCTAAGAAAGCATAAAAACGCAAAATAAATCAAGATGAAATAGATGTCAGCTTAAAAGTATATAGGTCTGGACAATATGTACTTTATAGGAAAAAATGATTAGAATGTCACAGATCCATATGTTAACAGTGGTGTTAATACAGATAAATTTTTGTTTTCTGATTTTAATTTTATGGGTTTTCTTCCCAAATTTTTCTGTAGCTTTTAGTACAAGAATAAACTTAGAATTAGAGCTTAAAAAAGGAAATGTTTTAAGCAAGTGAGAAAGGTGAGAAAAAGAAAACTGAAAAAGAAGGAGCAGTTGAGAGCACGTACTTTTAAAAGTCCATAAAACAGAAGCCAGAAAGTAGAGAGAGGTTACAACACTGCCTTAAACTTGCTCTCAGTTCTATAAAACAATCAACTCCGGATCCTGTAGCCTATTAGAGGAGTGAGCTGGACACGGCTCAACCAGGAGTCCGTGGTCTTCACTTGCCATCAGTATTTCTCCAGTGACTCGGAATGCTGCAGGATGTCAGTGTTCCAGGAAAAACAAAAAGTGAGGGGCTGAGAGGATGTTTTGAGAAGAAATAAATTTGGAGGTTGGTGACTCTCTGTTCTTATCTTAGTGACTCATGATGTACATGAACTTGGTAGAATTTTGAGAAATAACAGAGTAGAAAAATATGCATACATTGGTTTAAACAAGCATTTCTCAAATGTATCTGTACACAGAACGCACTCTCTGCTGCTGAACACTGGGCAATCCTGTACCACACAGTGTATTTACTACCACTTAAAAATACATGGAAGTACCACTGGAGCAAAAACAACAGAAAGCCAACATGTTCTTTGTGATGCTTGGTCAACAGAACTCTACACTGTGCTTTGTATGGGAGGCTGAGTGGACCTGAAGTTACATAGATCGCTTAATTGGAACATGTTCTGTTTGGAGTTTGGAGCCTAAACCTTCAGGGTGGTTGAAATGAGCCAGCAGAGGCGCTGTCCCTAGGCATGCCTCAAAGTCAGAGGCAGGAAGCACTGAATTCACATTTTTACTTAGTTTCCCAGTCTATCTCCAATGCAGCCAACAGCATCTCTGAAAAGACAGGGTACCTAGGTTCAGCACACAGAATGAGGAAGTCAAAATGGCAAGAAGCCGTTAGCTTCTCCATTGGCATCATGCCCAGACTCCCTGCTTCTCAAGAAGACGGCACTCATGGAGGCTCTGGTCTGAGGCAGGGCAGGACTAGTAGAGCAGAGCATGGCTCCATATGGTGATCCTCCTAGTCCTTTTCTCCCATATGGATGGCATTTACTCAAGACTAACTTCACAGTGTTGGTGGCAAGTGATGGAAAGGGAAGGAAGTTAGCAGGAACAGAGTCAAACTTAATCTTGGACTTTGCTCGGAACAATCTAGTTTATGGTCACCGTCTAAGTATATCTTAACATTGTAGAAAAAACATTTTAAATTATAGTCGTAGCCCTTTTCATTTTTCAATATTTGTATCTTGAGCAATATTCAGGATTCACAGATGTATACAGACAAAAAAAGTTTTGGTTTGTGGACAATCTTAAGTCATGGGGAACGTCAGGTTTTCTATTTTTATATGAAATCAGTCAAAATAAATTTTGGAACTCAAATAGCTACAGTGGTAAATAATGTCTTAGGAGATATTTCACTACTAGCCAGCAATGAGGGAAAGGTTGTAAGGAGAATATAAGTAGTGGCTTATTTATTTTTATTGATTCCTCCAGCCAAAATGTTTTCAAGGAAGCTGCAGTTTCCACTCTCAGGAAGAACACTGCCAACACCACAGTCAGAGCAGAAAGGAGGACTTGTGAAACAAGCTTGCCCTATGAAATACAAGCACCAGACATACTCCACTTCGTAGCTGAGTCCATTTCTTGCATTCATTTGCTTATTACAAAATCCACGAGTTTAAATGAAACATTTGCAAAAAGTTGTTATTGAAATACAAAGTCAAAATAAAATAATTTTCTTAAATTATGAGCCTAATTGATTTTTTTAATGGACCATTCACTTGTTCCTTGACCCTGAAAGATTTGTATTTTAGGCCTCCTGTACATTGTAAATTCATTACGATCAACCTAGTTCCCAGAAGTATTGCACCATTAGAGGTACAGAGACGGAAATTAAAAGCGAAACTGCGAAGTGAACTGTGCCTCGGGCAAATTAATAATACAAGTGAAGCCATTATGTAAAAATCATTGTTTGGCTAGAAATATTTGACTAAGCACCATAAAAGCATTTTGGAAAACGGTAATAGAATTCTGCATGGAAACATAGCAGTCACCTTAAACGGCACAGAATAAATATTGAGAACATGGAAAGTGGCACAGGATTAATGAAGTTATTCCCTGTGGCAGGTATCAAGATAGAGGGAGGTACAATGTTTCTGTCACTCAGATTACTCTCTGAGTACATTCCATATTTGCCTGTATTTACCTGGTATTGGCTCCTCCTTAAGGGAGAAGAAACTCTTCTAGGATAGAAGTTTATACTTCTGAGCCACTAAATGCCACATCACATACACTCAGGAAGACTATGCACCCAAACCCCAAAATAGTTCACTAGTAAGTTCGGAAACCCCAAAATTGATGAGGATTAGAAAGAGTCCTACAAAGCAAGGTGAAATGATTTTTAAAAAATAGAAATTGAGGCCAGGTGTGGTGGCTCACGCCTGTAATCCCAACTCTTTGGGAGGTCAAGGTGGGCAGATCACAAGGTCAGGAGTTCAAGACCAACCTGACCAATGTAATGAAACCCCATCTCTACTAAAAATACAAAAAATTAGCTGGGCATGGTGGCACAGGCCTGTTTTCCCAGCTACTCAGAAAGCTGAGGCAGGAGAATCACTTTAACAAGGAGGTGGAGGGTGCAGTGAGCCAAGGTTGCGCCACAGTATTCCAGCCTGGACAACAGGGCGAGATTCTGTTTTAAAAAATAATATTAATCATTAATAAAAATAAAAATTGAGGAAGAACCAGCAGACTTGCTTCGTAAATTTAGAATTCGTATTTTTCCAACATTCATTTTCTACCCTGAAAAGGTACAGAGACTCAGAGTAACCATTCTACTCAAAAAATCCTCAGCGGTATTAAAAAGATGAATGAAAATATACCCAAACACTAATCTCTTTTAAATAAAACTATTGTAGTAAACTATTTTCAGTTGTTTCATTCATTAAGCATTAGAGTGGAAGCATCCTAGCTTTAGATTTATAGCAGAAACACTGCACCTGATTTCAGAGATGCTAAGCTACAGTCCTAGGTGTGGACTGTACTTAGCTTTATAAACTTCCTCAAGGTCCAAGAAACTCACTTAAATCCCAGATTATTTAAAGTAAAATAGGCATAGTACCTCTCACTGTGGCTGCTCAGAAAATGAAATGTGATGACAGAGAGAAGCTCACCGTGAGCCTGTAAACTCTAATAACAGAAGTGTGAGATGGCTTTCTCACCCCCTGGAATTATAATGAGAAAAATTCTAATCACTTAGAAAAATGGTTTTCGAGTGCCTGCTTAGAGTAACTCTTTTCATTCATTTCATTGGTCTTTAAGTTCTCAACATGGAAATGACTCAACAATAGATAACAATCCTTCCGGAAGACGTGGAAAACTTAAGTGGAAAATGTCACAAAATGCGAAGATGGTGAAATAGAAGGAGAATCAAGAAGTAAGTGTCAGGTTTCAAAGAAAAACAACATAATGAATAACAGCCTCCTGAATTCTTACTATACTTAAAATGTAATATAAAAATTCAAAGAGTTCTACTTCCAGAAGAGCATTTCTTTAAAGTTATAATACACTAAACACCCATATATCAGTGAGGCAGGATTTTAAGTACTTTCTGTGTTATTTAAACAGTAGTACTAGTTCAGTATTCCTGTTTGTTTATTCATCTAATATGCTGTTCTATCTCCTACACAAAAGATCTTAACTAAAGCAATTAAAATCCACCTTGATGTCTCAAATACATATAAGGTTTTTTTTTTTAATGTCTCTTCACAATATTTTCACCCACAATCATCAACAGTTGGGTTGACACAAGAAATACAAAAAGTAATTAAATGCAAAATCTTCACATTAAAAAAGAAGAAAGAAAAAAAAAGAACTTCTTTCTAAGGAGGTTTAATCAAGTAACTGAAGTCTACCTCTCCTGTTCCTGCTTCATTCGTATCCTCTCCTCTTCTGACGTAAAGGATTCCTGTATTTTTATTTTACCCGTTTTCTCAATCTTGTCATCTTTTCGATGTTTGCCAAACCTGTTAATAACAAAAAATTCTAACTTGTCAATATATACAAAATGAGCTTTCGTTCATTTGTGGTAATGATATGTACCCAAGGAAATGAATGTTAGCTTCTTCAAAACAGGGACCAGGTGTCTTCCGCAGTCAATAGTTTGGGTCAGGACTAGTATTTTGAATTAGATTATTTTATTCATTTTAAATTAGAACTTTCCAGAGAAAACTCTTTAGGAAAATGGTCTCAATGGCATTATTCTTTTACCAAAACAAAAAGAAACAACAATAAGACTTGTGGTTTATCCTTATTAAACAATTAATACATCTGTAGGACTAAGCGCTGAATACTTCAGATGCTAGAGGAAGCAAGATATGCATTGGAATGGGTTTTGCTTGGGACTAAAGAATGATAATCCACAATCATCTAGTTAATAATTTTTTCATAAACAACTATTCTTTATTTTCACAGCCAGGCTGATTGGAAACATTCATCATAGTTTAAAAACTGACAAAGAAGGCCATGCTTGCAAGGTTTAAAGTACAACAGATAATTTACGCTGCTAGAATACTTTGTGCTTTCATTAAATTCAAAGGTTTAAGGTATTTTCATCAAATACCCTCCTAAATGGGATGAAAAGCAATTGCTGAATGTGGCATCTTTGACTTGGAAATCTACATCTGATCAAAAGCTAACATATGGAAAAAACCCATGATTCAAAAACAGTCCAACAAACTTCTGCAGATGGGTGCTGAGCTCTTTAATAAAACACTAACATTATTCTCTTCTGGCATCCAAAACATCCCAGAACCCTCCAACTTGGTATCAATTCCTTTCCCAGCTCTATTATTTTTCTCTATAAAAGACCACGTTGCCTGGAATGCACGCACTCTATAGCTGTAAGCAGTCTTCATCTGTAATGCATTGGTCACCAGATGTTTCAAAAAAGAAACATTTTATAGACAGTCACACGACTAAGCATTCAGAAATAATTAAAGTATATTGAATATTTCTTTTAGAAGAATAACAGGAATCTGGCTTACTGTGACAGTTTCATATCAAAAAAGAGGGCCAGGGCCAGTGGCTCACACCTGTAATCCTAGCACTTTGGAAGCCTGATGCAGAAGGATCACTTGAGCTCAGGAGTTCAAGAACAGCCTGGTCAACATACTAAGACCTCATCTCCACTAAATATCAAAACAATGTAATATAAAGTAGCTGTAATCCCAGCTACTCCAGAAGCTGAGGCAGAACTGCCTCAGCTTTTGGAGTAGGATCGCTTGAGCCTGGGAGTTTGAAGCTGCATGAGCCATGACGGTGTCACTGTGCTCCAGCCTAGGAAAAAGAGGGAGACCCTATTTCAAAAAGAAAGAAAGAAAGAGAGAAGAGCAAAGGGTCCCAAAGTTGACATAAAAGAGAAAAAATTATTTCTATTAATGTCTTTTTTTGATAGCCTAGATTTTTTTATTAATACAAATCTGAGTTCAAATACTTGTCTACATATGAATTAAAGTATATGTAAGCATTCCTCATATATTGATTAAAATACCACTTTATTTGAAAGGGGTTTATAAATACGGAAAGTATTCTTAAAATGTTAAAACAGAGAAAAGGTAAGACATCACCATCACTTCTTTAAAAATTACATACACTATATGGCAATCAAAACTGGCTATAAATTAACTTTATAAGGCAAATCTACGCTTAAAATTAAATTTTTGATCACAGCAATTGCAAAAAAAAAAAAGAGAAAATTCTCCAGAACTTAAATCCAGAATCTGACCACGTTTCATAAGGTGTAAAATACATACTCTGCATTTAAACTAAAAGTACAAAACACTAATAATTTGCACTATTTTTATTAATATATCAATAATGCCTCAGAATTATGCACAATGATGGGCTTTCCAGGTGAATGAATAAGTGAAAGAAAAATTATTAAAAACTGATACATCTCAGGAGAAGTCAACATCTAAAATATCACACTCATTGATCAGCTGAAAATGTATTGGGCATCTACCATGCATGCAGGGCTTAGTTGGAACACCCAGGCTATAAACAGTAAACAGAGCACATTAGGTCATTTCAATGGCCATAGAGCTTCGAAAGCTTATCTTTAGGAAATGCATTAGCATATAACACATCAGAGTGAAAGTGCTAAGGGGGAAAGCAAAGCAGAGTAAGGAGACCAAAAGTGACAGGGAAGAGGCTACTTCATGCTGGAAGATGGCCTCTCTGGTAAGTCCACATGTGAGCAGAGATCTGAGCTAGGAGTCAGCCGCGTTGGCTGAGTCGGCAAGGCAGAGGAGCAGGCAAGTGCGAAGGCCCTGAGGCGCAGGCAGGCTGAGTGTCTTTGAGGAAAGGCAAGGGCAGTGACAGGGCTAGAATGGGAAAAGGCAAAGAGAAGGCAGCAGGAAAGGAAGTAGAGTGGCAGCAGGGGCCAGACCATGTGGGTTCTTGCTCACCACACAGGATTTTGGACTTTACTGAGATGACGTGAAAAACACTGAAGGATCTGGAACAGAGGAATGGCACTGGTGACATTCTAATGATCCTGGATGCAGTGTGAAGAAAGAACGCACTGGAGGTGGAAAGCTGAAATCAGGGAGAACGATCAGGAGGCCGTGGTGATGAACCCGCTGGCAGTGGAGGAGAGGGAGAGAAGTGCTTAGTTTCTGGACATATTTTGACAGCAGCACCAATAAAATTTGCTAATAGGGAGGTCACAGACGTTAGGGAAAGAGAGTCAGTGACTACTCCAGGGTTTAGCCAAGCAACTGGAAGAAAGGAGTTGCTGTCCAGAGAGATCTACAGAGCCAGAGAAGGAAGAGGTTTGGTGGACTTGGGGGTTAGGATGACGTAATAGCAAAAATTCAAGGGACAGCAGGGAGCCGGATGGATTAATCTGAGTATCATCAGATAGCATTTAAAGCCAGGGCGTTCACTTCATCCTGGGCGTCCTACAACACCGAGGCATCTCAAAGTATAAAATGTACTAAATCCTAACTTCCAGAAAAGTTTAAGTTCAAATTTTAATACATCATATTTACTTATAATGAAGTATTCCTAAAGGCAAATCATTTTAACCATTTAGTGTTTCTGTGCATAACTTTCAAATGATACAATGTTGCCACATTGACTTACCAGTTTTTAAGACAGCATGCTGATTCACATTCCTACATTCCAGATGGTATGAATACAATTCTGTGTCATACTTGAGAAACACCATGCAATGACACAGAACAACACATTCTCTATCTGTACCGAAAGGTACCGTTTAGTCTTGCACGAAATAGTGTACATGCTCCTTAAGTTAGTAATGGTGAGGAAAGATTTAGATTGGTTGATTTGGCATGTTTTAAAACAGTTTAGACATTTTCAGCCCAAAGCTAATGTTGAGTTAATCAACTATGTCAAAATCTTTTTAGAAAACGGTATTGGTCCTATATTGTAAAGGTTTCAGTTTGCTGACCAAATATCATATATACATGTGAACTGAGTCAATCAACCTTCACCTTTTTCTCTTCAGTACATATGACATTTTTAAAAGAGTAGAATCCTGATTCGTACCTAAGGACTGCATATTTTCCCATTGCATTTGATATCAAAATATTAACTAGTTTCCTACACCACCTCCTAATCACTGGAATAACAATTTTATTATTTGTAAATGTATTACCAAGCTGTTATAACACACTTTCCTTTTTCAAGAGTATAGATTTGGCCGCACGCAGTGGCTCATGCCTGCAATTCCAGCACTTTGGGAGGACAAGGCAGGCAGATCACTTGAGGTCGGGAGTTCAAGACCAGCCTGGGCAACATGACAAAACCCCATCTCCATTAACAATACAAAAATTAGCTGGGTGTGGTGGTGCATGCCTGTAGTCTCAGCTACTCAAGGGGCTGAGGTGTGAGGACTGCTTGAGCCTGGGAGGTAGAGGCTGCAGTGATCCATGATTAAGAGTGAGAAACCCTGTCTCAAAAAATATATATACAGATTCAAGATTAATGTATGAAAATTAAAGAAACCATAGGTAAAATATTTATAGGTAAGTATTGGACATTTCTTTTAGTAACTGCTTTAGTTAATAAGTTATGTGATTTCTTTAAGATATAATATAAAATCAGAGCATATTACTTAATAATTGGGGCCAAAATGGATCACTCAGTTTCATGACAAATGAAATCAACTACAAGTAAAAAAAAAAATACCAACATTCTAAAATGTAAAAAAGAAAAAAAGTACCTATACCCATATTTACCCTAGTACCCAATATATTCTACTGTACTTCTTAATTTATAGTTGCTTAATTCCTAAAAAGGGGAGGCAGTCATTGAAAAATTTCACCTATACCTATACTCCAAGGTCAGTTTCACAGCAGAAATTGGCAATCAGCAAATGAAGACAATCAATAGCGAAATGCTCAAAAACCTGGAAAATATTAATTATTTGTATGTTATCACCTTTTAAAAGCCAAGGATGAATCAGATGGGTCACTTTCCAAGAAACAGTATAGCTGAAGAGATACTGTGCTAACTGTCTATCCAGCACCAAACCCAATCTCAGCACAGAGTAAAAGAGTTTTATTCACACAAAGAGTTTTGCAATCTGCTCTGACTGACTCACACAAAGGTTCAGAGGAAACTCTACTACCCAGCAGGTGTGAGGCTGAAAGGTAAAGTGGCCACCTACACTGGTACCTCAGGAAGAATTTGCTAGTCATGAACTAAGACATACTAACATAGGAGAAGGACTTTTTTTTTTGAGAGAGGGTCTCACTCTGTCACCGTGCTGGAGTGCGCGTGCAGTGGTGCAATCCAATCTTAGCTTACTGCAACCTCCAAGTCTCATGCCTTCCTCCCACCTCAGCCTCCGAGTAGCTGGGACTACAGGTGCGAGCTACCTACGAAGCTCAGCTAATTTTTGTATTTTTGTTGGTAGAGATGAGGTTTTCCATATCGTCCAGGCAGGATTTTTGTGTTTTGTTTTTTTTTTTAATTTGAGACATAGGCTTGCTCGATT